CTACAGTGTTACAATGTAAAAATATATATCTATATACACACATATATAATGGAAAAGGCAAGCTTCACCTGATTTTTCTTTGCATTCACAGATAGTCACAGGCCCACAAAACTGTCTGTCCAGCCAAAAGATGAGCACTAAATTAATTAAAATTGTTCAGTTATTGCAGTTTTATTACATTGCAACTACATTCTGGCTCTGCATTGCTGAGGAAATGCTCTGGAATGCCTGAAAGCTTCTCTACTCCAAAGTGTGCTGCCCTGTAACTCACTATTGCTGCCTGTTTTAAAACAACAACCAGTCTGCAAGAGCAAATGGAAAAACTATTTGTTCCCTCTCTTCACTGTCAATGGTGGTACCCAGAAATAACCCAAAATTGCTTCTAAACAGTTTTTTTAAAGCATAAAAGGAAATAAAAAAAATAAGTAATGTAAATCCATGTGCATTTTTTCAACTTCATTGTCTTAGCTAGGAATTTTCTTAGTGGACAAACAGGCAAATCTTGAGTGTACAGCTCATGAAAATTCTAACTATATGCAGGCAAACAATGTGATTTACACTTGCAGGACTGATTTGTTGTAAGCTTTTATGCTTCTGCATGTAGCAGTATTAGAATCAGTTGTATTTCTTGTTTGATATGTTGCATTGGAATTCAAAATAATGTACATAAGCCAGACATTTTGGAAAGTTTTTGACCTTAGAAATATGACTATCTAAGAGAGGTTTATGGTGGAAAGTATCACATCCTCTCAAAACAAGTGATTGTTAGCATGCCTATAATTCAGACCTTGTATGTAACACATCATGAATTGTAAATTTAAACTTTCATTTTCTCTGGAACACTGGATTAACCACTTCTCCATTTATGATTTAAAGCTTTGTGTCTGTACACAACCCAAGTGAAGATCACAGAAGTGGCATTTGTCCCAGTGATTCCTCCCAATCTGTCTAAAACCATCTGGTTTTCCTGCGTGTTCCCTTGCACCCAGGAGCTCTTCTTCTGACAGCAATGTATTCCTAATGCTGATGTGTGAAGAACTAATGCAGCCATTTGGATGCACACTTTGCTATCGAGGTGTCACTGCCATCCATCACGCTGGCCCAGACACCACAGAGCAAAAACAACAGCCAATACAAATGCATCATGACAAAATGTTGTATTTATGGTTTGTGTACATGCATAAGTCAGCTGCACAACCATCTCTGGCCTCCACTCAGGATTCATTTCTATGGATTGAATCAGCTTCCGATCATTCATGGCAAGATTGGCTCCCAACAGAAAGGCCCAGGGACACAGAGCCTCCCTACCAGAAATACAGAGACAATCCACAAGCAGACCTGGCCTCAGCTAACAAGGGTATTTATATGGGCAAACAAAACTGTAGCTTCTAAAATCACAAAGCTTTCTCTTGCATTAATATTGTTTTTATTTTGTATAAGAAATCTTTCTTAAGGTCTCCTCTGATATTCCTAAACAATGGCACACTGAACATTTTAGCTTAAGAAATCCTCTCATGAAGGATTTCTAAGCAGCAAATTGTTAGCTGTAAAGAGAGAATTACCACTGTATGTCCGTTTGCTATACTCTTCCCCTGGCATTCATGCTCAGCCATTCCTGACAACAGGGTGCTAGAATAGATACATCATCATGCAGCTGCTCACACATTCTTATACATTCAGTACTTTTTAAATTTCTGTATCTATGAGGCTTGTTCTCATTCTCTTGCTGTCAAAGAAATTGTGCTTTTTCAATAACACAATTCAATCACAAAGAATGATATTAAAATAATTTTTAAAAGGCCATGTACAATGATTTTCACAAAATCTAGATAATACACTTGTGCATGCTCCATTATACATTTCTTACTCTATTAAGTTTTCATAATTTAAAGCAGAAAAACTACTCTTATCCAGTGCTGCCATGTTTGGAAATGCTATATGAGAATGAAATCTGATGTTTACCACACTGTTCCTCTAGGATCCTCTGATCTCCAGGATTTGATGGCTTTGCTGCTCTCTCTGTTTATCCTTTTGGCATAGTATCTGTACTTAGATTAAGTCCCTGCAATGTTTCAGCATGTTACCTCCGATATAAATCTCATTCTTTTCAATCATGCCAGACCCATCCATAATCTTCCTGTGTTTTTATCTGTACTCAGATCACTTTTTCAATCACAACAACATCCATGTACAGCATTAAAATTCTGTTTATTCTCCTACATCACTATGAAAGGAAACAAATAATGAAGATACTAAAACAACCTGTGCTCTCCCAATGGCAAACTCTGTCTTCATTTACCCTTTTAAAAAGCCCATTGATGTCAATACAGTACCTGCACCAACACCAGACTGCTCCTCCTTCCTTGGATTGAGGATGGCAATGACAGGCAAGGGGGAGCAGAGCACTAGGCAAGAACTAGGTAAGATGGGCAGAGAGCTGGACGAGATGAAACCAGTTGAGCTTTCAGGGCAGTGAACATTCACAGTACCCCAAGCTGCAGAAAGTTCCTCTAAGGCAACAAGCATTCCTCAATCCACATCCTGCTGCTAAGGAGAAATTGAGGTCATCCAGTACCACACAAAAGTTACCCAGACACAAGAGATTAAATCCCAAAGTTTTGCTTAGAAGAGCATTCCAATTTAGAGCAGTATTTACACAAGTGAGAAAAAGGGCAAAATTTAAATGCTTAAAAATGGTCATTTTGAAGATGGCTAAACTCAAGCATGTGACTAAATGTTTTCCTGAAGAAGATCCTAACCATACAGCAAATTATCTGCATTCACTGCAATAGAAACAGATGTGCCTAGAATTTTTATTTCTCACACTCTTATGCTGCTCATAAATACAAACAATTTATTTTCCCCCCTCTTGAGCAATAATATTCATGTATTGTAAAAAATACACTTCAAGGAAAAGTAAATTGACATTTTAAGCATCTAAAGAGAAAGTTTCTTAATAAGAAGTGAAATAAAGCACAGAAAAAATACCATCCAAATGCCTGTCTTGTACAAAACTGAAACATGGTATGGCCATATTTTAGAACAGAGATTACAAATTGGAGTATCTCTTCATGATTACACATATATATATATATATATATTTAATACATGATTTAGCAGGAAATGGACTGTACTGATAAGAAACTGTCATTGAAATCTTAGATCAGTCAGTTATCCACAAATTAACTGATTATTTCCCATTATGATGCATCATCCACCAAATACAAGAAATACGGAATTCTATTATTATTATCAGTGCAGTCTCCCTATGACTACAATAAAATAACTCTGATAATTGTTTATATAGGATACTTTGAATGGCTGGAAGTATTAAAAGAAAATTTATCATTTCAAAACAACAAGATCTTTAAAATATTTTGAAATCTGACAGAAGACAAATAACAGTAGTGAGTTAAAGGTGAAAGGGCATCTTGAATATAGTACAATTTGTCTCCAACATGATTTATAGACCCAGCCTGAAACATGATAGCAAAAAAATAAGGTTTTTCATGGAGGTGCCTGAGGTCTACAAATCTCATTACTGTCGTTTCTTTTCAATCTCTTAAATTTAATAACATTTATTTTTAAAGGACAAAACAAACGTTGATACACATATCCAAAATAGCTTATATATAATTGCTTCAAAGTATGAACTTCTCATGTATTCACTCTAAACTTAAAAAAATTATTTATTTGATTATTATATAGATACAAAAAATTATTCTTCTAGATACTGATATTGTGGTTTTAAAGTTAGATGCTTTTCTTATGCAAAAAAACAACAAATAGAATTGAATTTATTGATCAAGAGTATCTTTAAGACAGTTTCAGGGAGTATTTTCAACATGGTCTACATAAAATTTATGTTCCAGCTCAAAGTATTACATTCGAACTTATGTTGTCTGAGAGAAAAAAAAATAAAAAACCCCCACACCAATGTTCTTTAATAGCTGGCTGGAGGGATAAATGTTTTAGGCCTAGAGATATGTCAACATCTGTAATATAGTATGTAATTTACTATTTTGTTCTGTAAAACATACCTTGCAGATGCAAAGCATTTAAGGTAAGAAAGACAGATTAGCAAAGAAAATAAACATTCCTTTATTAGGTAAATGATGCCTTAAAGACACTCTAAAATAAAGCTTTTGTGTATGTTGTCAAATGAAATGCTAAGAAATAAGGCCAAAAATCAGAAGACAGGTTATAAGTATGTTCAGACATCTGTCTTTATGTATAAATTCAAGTTTGAAGTAGGGATGATGTTAGAAACAACAGACAAATGGATCCAATCATCTGACACAGAGCAGGTACGAGCAAAAGTCACAAAAGTTAAAACAGTCTTCTCCAACATCCCATCTGTTTTTATGATGATTAAAATTACTATTGAACTTGATATTGGCATAGTAAAATTGGCACAGCTCACTAAGGGATTTCTGCACATGGGTAATAAGCATTCTCATCCCTTCAGGTCCTTCATTAAGACTATCAAAACTGCAATGCTTCAGAGCAAATTTGCCAGAGGCACCTTTTCTACAGCATTAAGAACATGGAGACAACACACAGCCTCCTTTTATGATACTGTGGAGAACAGATGTGTCTCATGTCTCTGGGAGGCAGACTGGCTAAACCACTCACAATGTCCCAGGGAATAGTGCTGTTTATACTATTTGCATTTCTCTACCACAGATTCTGTCTTTAAAGCACTGACACAATTAATATTCCTTTCATTCACATATAATGACATACAGAGAATCACCTCGGGGCTTGGTCAGTCCCTCTAAGCTAGATGTAAGCAATCAACCTTTAATAGACTTCAACTTGTGTTCTTGTGGACAAAGTAAGAGAAGACCAGTGGGGCATTTTATTTTTTTAGTCAAAATATCAATGTGCTCGATTTTGGAAAATCGTCAGGAACTTATTCTGTTTTTCCAAGGAAATGAAATTATCATATAATATATAATCAACATTTCAGTATGTAGCATTAAAAATACAATACTCACAGTAGCATGTTCCCCTAAGTGGATTTCCAAGATACCTATTTTCAGAGTCACAGCTGCAGGGGAAAAAGACAAAACCAAACACTGCCATTAAACACAGTACAGCTTTAATAAAAACGCAGCTAGAATATTTATTCAAGTTGCATGACTTTCAGTACTAGCAACATAAATATATGCAAATAAGAAGTATTTAATACAGTTCTTAATGAGGGTGTGCTACTTTCTGGAGACACCTCTCTGTCATATAAGAAACCCAGAGTGACCAGGCCCTTGAATAAAGAACTTGAGTCACCTGCCCCAAGTTGGTGCCTGCTGTAGGACTCGGGGCAGGAATTCTGCAGGAATTCTGGTCTCTCTGCACTTTAATGAGCAAAGGAGAGCCAGGCAGCCAAACCAAGCACTGCATCTCCTTATCCCTGTCTCCTCAGTCTCATTCCCTCTCTGGTTTTGATTTGGCACAGCAGCACCTCAGCTACTTAACTCCCATGAACTTCAGAGGCAATTGCTCCTCTTCACTGACCACCCAGGGCACCAGGTGAAATTCAAGTGAATATGATGTACTGATGCTGCTGACAAGATGTGTACATGCTGAGGGCTGGAGAAATAGCTTTCTTATTGATAAGGTATACAGCTATTTTCAGAGACATGAAATATCCTACAGAAATTCAGTTATATAACATTTCTCTAAAAAAGCCAAATATCTTAATAGAAAGTGATTAATCTGCTTTAGGTGTCCTTGGCTATTTCATGGAAGTCTCCAGCAAGATTACAGTTTTCTCTTAAACATACAGAAAAATTCACAAAACAAAGAGAAAGCTAATCACTGCCTATTAAATTCCATATAAATATTTTCCCAGAGGTAATCTGAATAATTTACTATCTTGCACTATCTTTTCATTACTTTATTTTAACAAACTTAATTTGGAAGGAGATATTTTTGCTGTTATTTTATTTGTGATTGGTAATAAAAACACATTCTAACTTGGATGTCATATCATTTAACAAGTTTTAGACTTTAAAATATTTTGATGTTTGTATTTCTGCTGGTTTCTTCAATAGTTTCTAACTGGTGATTCCTAACATACTCATTTTTATTATAAAATAAGCAGAGAATCTCCTTGATTCTTTGTTGCAATACTATAAGGAAAATAATCAGCAGTAGCAATATAATGCAAAAGTAGAAAAAAGATGATCTGAACTCTGCCCTTGGGCACTCCTGATCCCACATTAGCATGAGAACTCTTTGCAGGGTCAACTATACAGAAATCCAACACTTTTTAAATATAATAACTTAAACAACTCATCTCCAAGAAAATAATCCCCCCATGCTTGAAGTCTAACTGCACAACACAATTTGTGGTCTTGTTCACAAAGATACTCTGGCCCTACAGTCCTCTCCACAGAATTTAGAAGACAGTCTGATCCTGAAGTAACTCTCCTGCATGCACTCGGGAAAGAGAAAATCTCTCAGGTAACAACATTGGTCTGCCTGACACAGCTTTTTTTCTAAACATCACAAAACACTAACAACATTCTATAAAAACAGCTTGCTACTGAAACAATAAAAGATATATTCATGTCTGAAAGGGCCTTTAGGTTTGGAATTCTGAAGGAGAGCTAAGGGAAAGGGACTATTTTTAAATCAAGGGTTTAAAAGAATTCCCTTTTCCTGTATGTAAGATTGCCACATAAATGAGACTATATAATGTAACAAATGATAATAACATGATAGAGGTTTGTATGAGGACTATTTTTTCTCTTGAATTATTTCAAATACAAAGTAGATTACATGTAGGCAGTATTTAGAATACACTGCAGTTTTATACCTGAAGGAAAAAAAATATACAAAATAACTGTATTTAGAGTCTGAGGATGAAGGTAAGAAACTTCCCCTTCTGCTCACTGTTAATGGCATTGTGTGTGACATGGAAGAGCAATATCCAACTCCCAACACCAGTAACTTTTCCAGATTCCTCTCTGAACTCTTGCCCAGTCACAGGCACTCACCTGTGGTGCTTTGACCCTGAGAATAAAGGTTTGGGATTGTTTTTTTTTTAATCTTGAAAATCTTAATGAAAAAAGACAGCTGTTTCCATACAGCTTCCCTTCTCCATTCAGCTGCCCTTCTAATCAGATGCAATCATCTCCTGTGGATCAATAAGTGCCAGAACCCAGGGATTTCCAGCATCATATATACCTTCCTTGCACTTTTATTTCTATTTATATCACAGATAAAAAACCAAACATGAATACAGGAAATAAAAACATCTATAAACTCCATCTAATATAACACAGGCTTCACAACTTACAAGAACATACAAAAGAATGGTTAATACAAAAATTACTAGGTTCTAAATATTTTGCAACATGCAAGTATTCATAAGTATTCATTCAAATCCAAGTAATTATCAATTCCCTGATAATTACAGAAGTGACCTTCAAATATCTTGAAAAGAAAATAGGAATGCAATTTTACAGCTGTTTCAGTTGTTTCAGCATTATGTGCAATGGAAAGATAAAATATGCACAATAAAAAAGAGAATAGTGAATTACACCACAGCAAAGCATTTTGATGTTTTCTCATATTACACTTTCTGTGGTGGGAGCCTCGTGGGAGTACTGAAGGAGGGAGTGATTTTGGGCAGGACAGAGCCCGTGCCAGCCCTGGTGGGTGTTATCCCAGAGACATCCCAGCCTGTCAGGAGCAGACACACTGCCCTGCCTGGGCACAGGATAAAAGGCACCGTGGGATGTGAGGGAGGAGGAACCTCTCAATGGACAGCACCTGTACAGTACAGAGGGAAATTCAGATTCATCCAATGCTGCAGGCACATGGGAACCCCAGTCACTGAAGGGGCATGAGATTTACCTGTTATCTGGGGGGGTTTTATGCCCTCTCATTAAAACAGCTGTTTTATAACACCATTTGTTCCCAGGCTTTTCATGCAGAACACTTCCATAATGCATATCAGGAATAACATGAGGCAGAGTTTTTACTAGTTAGGGAAGCCTGTTTTAATATAAATGGAAGATACTACTTAAACACTTGGTTTTCAGTGAAGGAAAAGAAATGAAACTAATAGGATTAAGAATACATCTGAAATTATTCACACGAGCGTGTATGCTGGGTTTCGATTAAATTTCATTTTGTCTTTTAATCCTCTCCTGTTTTATTAGCATACATATTGCTCTGCATTAGTCTCTGATTATGGTTCCAAGTACAAAATTTCCTATTTGCTGAATTGTTTCCTTATGAGCTTTACTCATTGTAGTAATTTTTGTACCTTTTCCAAAAGCCAGCACACATTGGACCATATGTGAAGCATAATATATGCCTCATATCTGAGAAATGGAAGCTACACTCATTATTTTATGTGCCATAGGGCCATGATCATTTGCTTTAAGTGGTCATAATGAATGAGCAGTTCCATTCTGGCAGGACTCCAAAGACACAGCTCCCATTTACAAGGACAAATGGAGGAAGGTTCCTATTAGGTTACATACAAGTTCTATGGTTTGTTCCAATTCAAAAGTATTCAATTCATCAAGCTCACTGACCTTTGGATGGCCTGCCATTAGCACTTATTTCCCAACTTCTCCCTCAATTATCCTTTCAAAACTGAACCATTTTCTTTCACTTTCTTTTTATCACCCTGGATTTTCTGGAAGTTCAAAATAGAAGTTATTGACAAATGCATTTAAAAAATAATTGCTCTCATGTTTCTGACCAAGATAATTTCTCACTTTCTCTTTAAATACAATAAATCTATGTAAATGAGTACATATTTACAGTAAGACTGCCAGATTTGGGGGTCTTTTTTAATAAATGAAAGGCCTCTTTGTAAAACAGAGTTTACAAACAACCTTTTGTTGATGCTTGTGTATGTTCTTGTGCTCTGTACCTTGCAGGCTTAAGAAAGCAAAGGAACTGACAGCAGGGGAATATATATATTTACATGCCTAATTTCATTGTTCTTACTGGTGTGTCCCTTAAGGAAGGGAACGCCCTCAAGCTTGTCATCTGAGGAAAACTGTCAATGTAACACACCAACCTAGATCAACAGCTTTCTAGACAAGTGATTTGATCTCATGGAAACCTTCCTATAACAGTTCATTTAACCTTTCATGTTAAAGGCATAAGTTTCTGCAGCTCTGCTGCTGCCACTAATTGTTAAATCTTTCAATTAAAAGTGAAGCAAAAAAAGAGGAACAGGGGAACACCAACCTAAGTACAGCTGGGCTTTCCTTTAGCTGAATTTGCTTTTAATACCAAATTCTCAGGGAAGGCCACTCTAACAGACCATTTTATTTTATTCAACTGGTTCCTTACTGACACAGTTTTATCTAGTTCTGGCCGGGACCAAGACTTGTCAACTATACAATTATAGCATTTTATATAATGTAGATATATAATAGATATATATAATATAGATCCTTACCTCATATTTTGTCCTTGCAAATTAACAGACCACTTCCACAGTGTCTGGGGAAGAGCTGTCACCTGGCTGATCTATAGCTGGCCATAAACAGGTTTGGGATTCTGCCCAGTATTGTGTCTATAAGAGGCTCACAATAAATTAAGACTTACAGTCTGCTTCAGCGGAGTATTCCTAGCCCCAGACTGATTACTTGCCCCAGCTTTTGGATGAGTCAGAATAGCTTTCAGGACTACTGCACACCTCTGTCCTAACCTTCACTCCTCATGCTGCTACAGTGGTCTTGCTGCTGCTGTTCTCTATTACTGATTGCTGCTTCTGATCCCTTTGTCCCCAGTTCCTGATCTTGCACAACTGTCTCTTGGTTTTATTCTGCTTTCCTGGTTCCACTCTGCTATGATGCTAAGAGGGTTTTGAATAGTGAAATACTATTTACATTTAAAAAGTCTAGTTATTTGGGACACCTTGCAACTGAAGTTCAGTGTTTGTAAGACTAAACCTAAGACTTGTCTAGTCGCATGGTAAGCCCTGTGGAATTGCAAGTGGATATGAAGAAAGATTCCATATTGCTACATATTACTACATCCTCAGTATCAAAAATATGTCCATGCTGTTGACTG